TGTTTGAAAAAAAAACAGACCAAACAAATAGGGAGATGGGCATACTTGGCCTTCAGTATTGGATGAATCACTTGTTGTATGAGCTACAGATGACTTTGCTTGAATACAAGAAAAGACCTTGATACTCTCGGCTTTTCACTTCATCTGTTCTTAAATGGAACCTTGGAGGTACAGTGTACAACAGAAAGCATCACAGGATTCAAAGTATTGAGTTTATTTTAACTGCCCCTTCTCAGATAAATAGATAGGAAGACAAAAACACTTAACTCAAGAATGAAGTACTGTCCTTTCCCCTAGGCCAGATTCTATTTCAATCCAACAGCACTCCATTAATAACAGACAGCATTTCATTAAATGACATACTTTGTTCCTCTAGGGTAGCCTTGTTTTCTGTACTGATCATTATAAAGAAATCACTAGGGGACTTGACACAGTGTGATCTATGTAACCGCCTGTATAGATTTTTATATATCACATGCTGGTCACTGAATTATAGCACTCAGTCTACCAATTCTCCCTTGTTACAAAGTAAAACATTGCACCATTTTGATTTTTATTAAGTCTAAGTGTTGATGGACAGAAATGAAAAATAGTGCATTGACAGGAATCAACTAGCCCTTACACGTGACTTGGAAATTCCAGCAAACTGAGCATTTAGTGAAACATCATACTGTGTTAAAATGAAGTTATATGCACAATCTACATGATCATTTTCATTTGATTCTTTACAAACAGAATTTTATGCTGTTTCTTGGGGTCATGTTGGCAGATGGACAGGAGACATAAAATGGAGGATAATGTCAGTGTGATTTCCTCGTATCCACTTTCCACACACCCTTACCCCAATCCCAATGTAGTTTCAAACACAATGGAAATTTTTGGACAGCTCACCTGCCCTTGGGTTGATTGAGGCCCTTAAATAACCAGTTAATGACCACTCAGGGACTGTTTGTCCTCAGCCTTTTGAATCCAGGGACTTTTTGTCCTCAGCCCTCGAAATCCAGGGACATTTTGTCCTCAGCCCTTTGAATCCAGGGACATTTTGTCCTCAGCCCTCGAAATCCAGGGACATTTTGTCCTCAGCCCTCTGAATCCAGTGGGGGGGGGGGCAGAGGCGGCAGCCATGTTTGAACAGCCTCGAAGACTCCCTCCCTTATGCTTTAAGCAGGAATGTAGGAGGATTTGGGGGAGACTTCCTTCGTGGGCCTGCTAGACCCCTTTGAGTTGGCGGGAGAAGCATGGTGGGCTGGTGGTTTGTGGGCTTGCCATCGAATTTATCACTGGATTTGCAGGGAAACTCTGGTGAAGCATAAAATACTATTTTACAGTTAATGACATCAGTTATGTTGATACAAACTTTTATAATACTTATCTGGGATTGCACTTGTAATGGTAATAATAATGACTTTTGATGAAAGTATGTTAATTATGTTTAGAATGTTGACTGTCCCACTTTAATCTGGCATGTGTACGGAACTCTGGCCAAAAGATTCTGAAGATTATAAAGCAATTCACCAATGTCTAAGTGTTCCTGGATCAAATTGGTCATTTTCTGCATTACTTGAGGCGCCAAACCTGAAAGGAGTTGACGGGTAATCTTATGGATTAACATATAACCCAATTGATTAGCATCTGCATGAGCTGGTGGACAAAGATATCTGATATCGTTTAGCACTGAAATCTGTGAGATTGTCAATGCAATCTCTGCCCTTTATGGACAGGATATAATTTCAGTCATTACAATGCATTTATTCTTTTGTAAATCGTGCCCAGGGAGCAGCATATTTAGCATTTTTTTCTTTTTCAAACTTCATTCCTTTGTTAGATTTTGCAATCAATATGTTTTGAATGTCAATACTTAGTATTGAATGCTATTTCACTTTGTTACGTAGCCTCAGTCTTAAATATTTGCAAGGCAGTCTTGCCTTCAACAAAGTCAGGGTAAAAGTTGCCTTCTCTGTGGCAGAAAAGATGTACCCTGATGCACAAATGTGTCATTTCACACATTTAGAAGGCCGACTTAAATTAATTTTACAGCTCAAATGTGCTCAGTGATCAATGCTGTTGTATCACTGAACAGTAGGTGTGGGCCCCACAGAAGCCTGATGGTGGCGGCATAGTAGTGATGTCGCTGGATTAGTAACTGAGAGGAAGACAAATGTGCTAGGATCATGGGCTGAAATCCAAGCACAGTCACTGGTGGAATTCAAATTTGATCTGGAATAAAAATATATTCTTAGTTATGGGTATCGCATAAGGTAAAGGTTACAAAAGGGTTAATGTTGACAATTACATTCGTGTCTATGCAATTTGATCATACGACATAGTCCTCATGGAGAATCGGAGAGTCCAATTTGAAATTCTGTTGGGATTGGGGTTTCATCCCTGATTTTGTAATTATGTCTATCTAATGTAAGTTGTACGTATTGCTACAGGGCACTTGTGGATCATCGTCATCAGTAGTCCCTCGCAGATGAAGATGACTCTCTTCCACTCGAACTGTGATTCCAGAGGTGGCTGTACGCACCGATGCAGCTTCCACAGGCTCTGTTACACTTGGGGCAAAAGGTGTTTGCGGGAAGGGGTGGCTGGCATGTTGGTGTGGCAGGGCACTTCTTACGCTGTTTTCACCAGGCTTCTGCTTTTTCACAATGGCAAGTCTCGATGTGCTCGATGCCTCCCCGGATGCTCCCCCTCCACTTTGGATGGACACTTGTGGTAGCTTCAGGACCTGTGGATCAGAAGACCTAGGTTCAACTCCCACTTATCATGAAGGGTGTTATGTTGTGTCTGAGTAAGTTGATAACCTTTTCTTGGTATCTATTGCAGTCATGCAATAAACAACATCTTGTTGTTAAGACACGTGCCTCTTCATGATAACACTCATTGTGGCTCATTAGCTACAACCTGTTAACCAAATAAACCCTCAGACCCAGTATAGAAAGGAATATTGGTGTCATCTCTCTACCCCCACTGGAAGCAGGTAGTTGTTGGTTCCATAACACATAAGGCATGGTGATCAGTGGTGGTAGGATTGTTGCTTAAGTTGCTTAAGCTCCTCAAGGTAAAAATGATAAAAAAGACCCATTTCCTGCAGAAAATGTTTCAGATGATAAGTGAATTTAACAGTTTATGGCCATTACCAGTTTAAGAATACTCGTTCAGTCAGCAACTGCAAGTGCTCAAATAGAAAAGCAGTCTGCAGAACTCATGGCAAGAACAGCAGGACAAAAGCAATACCCCAGGTTAAAACAGTCAACTCACAGCACAGAAGTGGCACAGAGAAAAAATGGGCAAGTTAAAAAAGTGAAATGGAGCAACACATCACACCTGGCAGTTGCAGAGTCCTTAATGAAGAAGAATTTTTAGGTGCAGGCCCAGTTTGAGTTTTGGCTGGGAAACAGCCATTTCAGGGCTCAGGGAATTAAGCAGAGGATTCCTGTTGACTTCAATTGCTGAGGGTCAGCCAGTTCAGTTGGCTGGATGCTTGGTTTGCAATGCAGACTGACGCCAATAGTGTACGTTCAGTTCCTGTACTGGCTGAGGTTGTCATGAAGAGATGTCCTCCCAACCTCTTCCCTTGTCTGAGGTGTGGTGACCCTCAGGTTCAACCACCATTAACTATCTCTGTCTAAGGAGAGAGCAGTCCCTGATATGGTAAGACTACTAGTGCCTTTACATTAAACTTTAAAAAATGGTGTGAAGTACCAGCCTGAGAAGGATAGTTAAAACAGAAGCACTAATCAACCACTGTGGATATTGCTGACTAAGCAAGCAAACACCACAAGGCACACCTGCAGTAGCCAACTGAGGGGGCATTAAATTAATTTGTATTGAGTCTGCAAGATCGGGAACCTTGTAGATTAAGATGACAAAAGGCAACTTTATAAGATATAGCATATAGTATCTGATGGAAGAATTCAAGATTGCGATATCATCAGGAGATACATAATTTAAACTGGTGGGAAGATTTTGCAAGACTATGGCCACAGACACTTATGTAGACAATCTGGTAAAGGGGTTTGCATTGTGTTTTAGGTTGTGATAAGTGGGAAAACATTAACAATAATGAAGTAAAAAGCCTCCAACTAGGCTTTAGGAGCCAAGAAACCACATTTTGTTCAAACAAAATGTGGAAACACCACCAGTAAGCAATACAAAGGTACAGCATTGTTATTTGATAGAACAGCAACTTTATTAGGAAAAAATAATACAACAATGTATTTCTACAGTTTACAGTCTCAGCAGTTCAGACAAGAATATGGTATTGCTATAATAGAGTTTAAAAAATGTTCATAAAAGGAGATTAAAACAGTAGTGAAACCCTGCAATAGTAGAATACTAAAAGCCAACTGGTTACAAACAGCATTGAGGTGCTGCAAATTTGAATCAACTTTATAGCATAAGGAATAAGCAACTACATGTAGAAGCAATGCAGGAACACTCATAAGACTACTATTAGACTTTGAAGAGGATTTGTCTAGATGATTAACTTGCTCTCTCTCCATGTATGCTGCCTGACCTGCTGTGATCTCCAGCAATTTTTGTTTTCAGCACAGATTCAGCATCTGCAGTAATTTGTGCCTTGACTATCATATGAGATGGGCTAGAAGAAGGCAGGATTAGACATCTTGGAGAAAACAGTTCTTAAAAAACAGAATTGCTTCAAAATTATATGCTAAGTCACATGCAGAAGGAAGTATTGTATTGTATTCAATACCATGTCAAGTGCATGGCATCATAAATTGCCAAAATATAAAAGAATGTATAGACATATTTGAAAACGTTCTATCAGCTTTCGATAATTAATTAATCTGAGAACAAATAAAATTTTTGAAAGGTAAGGTTTAACAGAAGTGTTAAGCATCAAGGGGAATGTGTAGATATTTTCATTAATTTAATTAATGGGGAACTGTGAGTACAGAGCTTTGAAATTAGAGTTCATAAGGGACAGAACTATACTTAGAAATATTGATCAGTCTTTGTCATATTTATTACAGGCCAAGAAAGCTTTGACTTTAGAGAAAGATATTCTCATTCTGCTGGATGCAGAAACCAGGAAGATTCCCATACAAGCCCTGGAGATGGGAAAGATAACCTTATCATATGTCAGCAACAGAATCCGTCCATATGAAAAGGTACAAGCACTCTAAAGCTCATGTATAAGTCAGTACAGGGCATAGGTTTGACAGCAGATGTTAAGAGTGAATATCAATGCCAAGGAACAAGAAAGCCTCCCAGATATGTGTGATGCCTAGGTGTGACAAAAGAATGCTTATAAAACTGGGAGAAAGCAGGAACTGCAGAAGCTGGAGTCAGAATCGATACAGTGTGGAGCTGGAGGAACACAGCAGGTCAGGCAGTATCAGAGGAACAGGAGAATCAACGTTTTGGGCCTGGGCCCTTCATCAGGACTAGTGTGGGGCCGAGACTCTCCTACTCTGATGCTGCCTGACCTGCTGTGTTTCTTCAGCTCCATACTGTATTGATGCTTATAAAATTGGATCACATTTTCAGAAGAATGACACCATTTCAAAGCAGCAAAAATGCAGGTGGTTACCTCATTAAGGTAGAAAATCACCACTGAAAAAGAACCATTCTGTAAGGTAATTAGTGATTCAATTGACTTGAGTTTGACAGAACTTGATTGTATCAATGGACAGGTCATTGACTTTAATAATGAGACAGGGATGACTGTCATAGTCCTATTAGATGGCTAAAGAAACAGATGTTACAGCCTACACTGGTGAGATTGCATGTGCCAATTGTATAAGGCTCAATAGTGAAGATATGCTACACTAACATTACTACTAAAAACTTTTAAGGAAGTTGAAAATGTGTACATGAGTCACAATGAACCTAACTCAATATTGAGCCTGCACCAATGTCTTGGCCTTGACCTCCTTGCAGTTGCAGAAAGAGTTCATCTCATTCCAAGAGAACAGCTGATTCAGTTGAAGATCCTGCACCAGTGACGGCCTGTCCCTTCATAGTCTTAGTAATTATGTTCAACTCGTCATTGTGACTTATAGAGCCATAAAATCATGCAGCACAGAAACGTGTAGTGCTTTCATGCAATAAACAGCATCTAGTTGTTAAGACAAGTGCTTCTTCTTGTTAAGCCTCTTACATTTTTGGTTGCACACTCCAAATCTGTAGGCAGCCCCTGTGGGGAGGGGTAATCAGATTCTAGTGGTTCTGCTCCTGGGCTTAGCCAAGGTGGCCATCAATAGGTGCTGGCAGTGGATCATGGAGGGGTTGTGGTGCCCAACATCCTGTCCCTCTTTCCTGGTTACATTTACACCCTGGTGACCATTGAAAGGGAGCATGCAGTGGGCACCACATGGGATGGGGTGCATCATCTCCCCAGATACTGTCATTTTGGTTTAGAAAGTTTTCGTTTGCCATTTTGACATGGTTTTGTCAGAGTGCCCCATGATGGACTATCTAACCAGAATAAACTTTTTATTTCAAGAGTAGAAAGTAGTATTGATGGTAGAACTCTAACCCCTGTTCCCATCCACCCCAACCATTTAGCAGTTTGTGATTGTTTCTACAAACACACCAACAATGGGGGCCATGGCACTAACATTGAATTTCATTAAAATCCATCCAGTTCATGAATATCTTTTAGGGAAGGGAATCGGCTGTCCTTACCCAGTCTGACCTGCCTGATCCATAGCAATGTGAATGACTTCTAACTCCCTTAGCAAGCCATTCAGTTGATGGGCAATTAAGGATGGGCAACCAATGTGGCACCCATGACCCATCAAAGAATTGGGGGAAAAAAGCTTGTTATAGTTACCAACAGCAACATAAAATTCCTACTGTGTGGAAGCAGACCACTCAGCCCATTGAGTACCACTGGCCCTCTGAAGAGCTTCCTACCCCATCCCCAAATTTACCATGTCTATTCCACCTAGCCTACACATCCCTGGACACTATGAGCAATATCGCATGGCCAGCCCACCTTAGCTGCACATCTTTGGACTGTGGGAGGAAACCAGAGCACCCAGAGGGGACCCACACAGACATGGGGAAAATGTGCAAACTTCACACAGACAGTTGCCTGAAGGTGGAGCAGAACACAGATCCCTGGTGCTGTGAGGTAGCAGTGTTAACCATTGAGCCACCGTGCTGCAGTCTCAAGTGTCACCTGCTCAGTTTGGAATGAGGCAGGACTCCAATGAGTTAAGACAATGAAAAGATGAATTTACCAAAGGTTTCAAATACTTTTCACATAGAGACATGTCTCAAGGTGCACAAAAGTATTTTGTAGAGAACAGTGCAAGCAGAAGGTTCAAGATTAAGCTAAGCCAGGACATATCAGAACAGATCATCCAAAGATATTAAGCAGCGTCTTAAAGACAGAGAAAATTTTCTTGATAAAAATGTGAATTTGAATCAGGCCCCAGAGGCTGACTGATAGCACTGACACAACATACCACCCAACTTCCAAATACTGTTCTTATGCAATGTCATGAGCTAAGTGTCAACCCTGTTTCTGTCTCCATAGATACTGCCTGACCTGCTGAATATTTCCAGCACTTTCTGTTTTTAATTTCAAAATGTTTTGATTGATTTGAATGCAAATGATCATTTGTTCTTTAAACTGGACAGAACTTTCATTTAACACTGGGATGTGGAACAGCTGTGTCTAATCACTTTGAAATATGGCAGCACTCCAGCGAGTTGAAACACTTAGAAGAAAAAATCACCAAATGTTTCCAACTAAGCGCACCAGACAGGATTTAAACATTCCTTACAAATTGACCTCTACATTTTGAAATTGGTTGCTTTGTACATCTCTGACTAAATCAATGGTGAGTCAAAAAAAAAACTGTTTCCAGTTCTGCCTCTTCAATGGCCTTTATATTCATAGGATCTTTATTTTTTTTAAAAAAACATTTACCTAAAATTCCTCATGACAGTTTTTAACATCAAAATGTCAGTTGCTGCTCTTTCACTGAGAAGCAAATATTAACAGCAACAGTGACCCATTCAGGTTACATGGCTATGAGATCAATAGCCGCTAAGTGCCACAGAATCGCAATTAAAAGTCCACAGGTTATTTTACTTTGTTCTTCACTCAAAACATATGGTACATGTCGCCGTGGATCACAATGAAAGGGTAGATCCATTGAGTTCTGATAGTCTGCACATCAAAAATAATGATTACGTCAATAATATTGACAAAGTATTTGCGAACTGTGGGATAAAACTTTGATCCTTGTTAGTTGCGAGTGTGTTGTTGGCTGGAATATATCATTAAAGTAAACATTCGACTATCAATAATATTTCTTTTAAGTTGTGGGAAAACATCAGTTAAACAATGGCTCCAGTTTTATGTATGAAATACAATTCTGCCATTATTTCTCCAATAAAATAGAGACTGGGCAGAAGAGTAATGTTTGGTGCAACAGAAAAACACTGTGCTTGTTGGAAATCTGAACTGGAAACAGTAAATGCTAGAGATATTTAATGGGTCAGACGTTATCTGTGGAGAGAGAAACAGAGTTAATGGATGGAATTTAATCGTTGTTGCAGATGGCCAGTGCAATAGCACCAAGATGGCGACGGTGTAGGGGTCCTGAGCCACTTCTCGTCTGCTCTATCCATTTCTTCTCTTTTATTCTCTCTCTTTTTGTATTTTTATTTCTCTTTTTATCTCCCATCCTCAGGTGGCATCATGATGTTCCAGGATGAAACCCAGCGCGGACTCCCAGCATGGACCCAAAATCCTGGCCTCAGTGTGGACTCGAAATCTTTGTCTCAGCCTGGACTTGAACTCCCGGCCTCAGCCTGGACTCGAACTCTCAGCCTCAGCCTGGACTCGAACTCCCGTCCTCAGCGTGGACTCAAACTCCAGGCCTCAGAGTGGACTCGAACTCCCGGCCTCAGCCTGGACTCAAACTCCCGTCCTCAGCGTGGGCTCAAACTCCAGGCCTCAGCCTGGACTTGAACTTCTGGCCACAGTGTGGACTCGGAATCCTGCCCTCATCTTGGACTCAGACTCCCACCCTCAGCATGGACTTGGGCTCCTGGCACTACTGGCCTTGAGGTGAAGTCAAACACGTTCTGGGTTGAGCTCTTATTTCTCTATTTTTCTAATTTATTGCTGACTTTTTATTTTTTCATTTTTCAGTATTATTTCCCTAAGAATCTGCATTTGAGAATCTATACCTAATTATCTTCATACCTAAGATGGCGCCATAAATGGTGACTTGTTAATTTTCACTGTACTCATGTGAGTGCATGTGGCAATAAAGCTAATTAAATTCAAACTAGTCGCATCTCCGCCACAGGCATTTCTGAGTAGCTCCAAATGAGATTTAATTCCAAACATCAGGCCCTAACTCATGGGAGGGGAATGAATCCCGGGACATCTTTGTGTGTGATGGATGCCCCACTTCTGAGAGCTGCTAGCCAGTTGGTAGACCAGGAGATCACCATGGTTGGCAGTGCCAACTGTATCTGTTGTTCATTTGACAGCTGGGATCCAAATTGGAGACCAAGGCGAAAGGTGTGTGGGTCATAGTCAGGGTTAGGGTTAGGGTTAGGGCAGGTTTGGAAGCCGCAGAGAGAAAGGGGAGGGCAGCTTATATGAAAGGCAGAGTGGGCATCTTACTCTGGGTCCCTACACTCTTGGTGATGGGTGATGCCATTAAGCATGGAGTGCAGCAATGGGTGAAGAAGGCAGATGGTATGTTGGCCTTCGTAACAAGTACAGGAACTGAGATATCTTATTGCAATTAGACAGAACATTAGTGAGATCACAGTGGGAGTATTGAGTGCAGTTTTTGGTCTCATTATCTGAAGAAGGATCAAAAACAAATTTGCTAGAAAAGCTCAACAGGTCTGGCAGCATCTGTGAAGGAGAAAATAGAGTTAACGTTTCAGGTCTGGCTCTGAGGAAGGGTCACCGGACCCGAAACGTTAACTCTGTTTTCTCCTGCACAGATGCTGCCAGACCTGTTGAGCTTTTCCAGCAACTTTGTTTTTGCTCCTGATTTACGGCATCCGCAGTTCTTTTGGTTTTTATCTGAGGAAGGATGTTCTGACCGTGGAGGGAAGGCACTGAAGGTTTACCAAATTGACTCCTGGGATGGAGTACGAAGAGAGGCTGGATTAATTTGGTCTATATTCACTGGAGTTTAAAAGAATGCAGGGAGGAACATGTAGAAACCTATAAAATTCTGACTGGGCTAGACAGAATAAATGTAAGAAAGATGATCCTGAAGACCAGGGAGTCAGAAGCAGGGGTCACAGACTAAGGATATGGGGGAGGCCCTTTGGGACAGGGTTGAGGAGAGATCACTTCATGCAGAGTGGTGAGCCTATGGACATCACTACCACATAAAGAATGTTTTCAAGAAGGAGTTGGACTTAGTTCTTAGGGATAAACGGATCGAAAGTATGGGAAGAAAGCAGGTTACTGAGTTGATGATCAGCCATGATCATACTGAAAGGTGGAGCAGGTTTGCAGGGTGGAATGGCCTAGACATCCCCATATTTTCTAGGTTCCTACAAGTTCATGGCAAGGATGAACTTGTCCTACCAGGCTCCTTGCCAAGATTTCACTGATGGTGGGTGTGGGATTGAGTAGCCTATACCCGATGCTGGTTAATTACCAACGATGGCTATATGTGGGGTAAAAGAAGCCCTTTAGCTTTTAGATGTCTGCCAAAGGGCCTCAGTTTGCTCCTGGACAAACTGGTCATTCTCAAGCTGTCCCAGCTCAGATTAAAGGAAGGAGAGGCAGTCTTCATATGGTGCCTGCCATCTCCAAAACTACATTGGTAGTTGAGGGTGGGGATGTGGAATTAAATTTTATATTGATAACTTCCTGAACAGGAATGGAAAAGGGTAAAAGTGTGATAGATTCTATTTAAATGCAGAGACAGGAAAATGGGTAAAGAGGAAAGAACAAAAAGGAGAAACTGTGTGATATGGCTTGATGCAGGAGCGGTTAAATCAGAAAAAAAAGAATAGTAGTGGAGAGAGGGAAATAAACAAATAAAGGAACAAACAATGAGAATAAAATCAGATTACTCAATGGGTCAACAGGAAAGGGAGAGAGAAATGAAGCAAATAGGTCAGATCTTACAGGGTCCCACAATCCCTCTCCACCCCTCTGCCCAACTAAACATATGTGTTTATCCCACTCACATCCCTACAGCTGCCCTGCAGCAATTGAACACCAGGATCAACATGATCTCAACAGGGAATTAAAATTGGATGGAGTGTAAGACCAGCTTGGCCTCAAAGCCCATTCAGTTTTCCACGACATGGGTGAGGTTAAAATTCCCTGAGTGTAAATGTGAACAGTGACCAAGAAACAAGGGGAGAGTATTGCTGAGGTTACTAATACTTTCCTGGGAAGGGAATGAGGGTCACAGATGTTGTTTGTGTGCGTGTGTGTGTGTGTGTGTGTGTGTGTAGACCCAATCACTGGTGGCATGTTATTTGAGTGGAAAGTTGCCTCCAATCCTCCTTTCGACTCTTTCAACTGAATGAGAATGGTGTAGACAGCCCCTGGTGGGCACTGTAACAAAAGGTTAAAAGGTCAGTGGAAACTTCCAAACAGAAACTTGTCAAAATTAAATGCTGCAACTCAGCTCACCATGCGAAAGGGACCTGTTGGGTTAATACAAAACAACAACCACTCATAGTCTTAACAACAGGAAGCAATTTATTACTTGTTAGCAATGAGTATGAGTTACATTGCCTTAATTACTAAGAGTATCAGGAGCCAGACATGTAACGTCTCACCCCATTAGCTCTAGATCTTTGATTGTCCACCCAAGACTGTGTGACGTTTAATTTTAACTACATTTGATTTATTGTCACATGAACCTAAGTACAGTGAAAAGCTTTGTTTTTAAGCAGTAAAGGCAGGTCATTGTAAGCAAGGACGTATAGATCATGGTGAAAAGAAAATTTTGGACAGGGGCATACAGGTTACACCACACAGACCCTACACTAGGCAAGATCAGCATTAACAAGATCAATATTATTTGAAGTTAGAGAGGTCCATTCATCAGTCTAATAATGGCAGGGAAGAAGCTGTTCTTGAATCTGCTGTTGTGTGTGTTCAAGCTTCTGTATCTCCTGCCTGACGGAAGAGGTGGTAGGAGATCATTACCAGGGTGTGATGGGTCTTTGAAGATGTTGGCAGCATTTCTGCAGCAACAAGCCGTGTAAGTAGAGTCCATGGATGGAAGGTTGTCTTCTGTGATGGTCTGGGCTGTATATACAACTTCTGTTCTTTCTTACGATCCTGGGCACAGCAGTTGCCGTACCAGGCCGTTATGCACCTGGATATGCTTGCAATGATGCATTTATAAAAGTTAGTGCGGGTCCTCATGGACATACCAAATTTCCTAAGCAGCCTGGGGAAGAAGAGGTGTTGTTGTGCCTTCTTGACCATCGCAGGTACTTGGGAGGACCAGGATAGATTTTGGGAGATTGTCACTCCTAGGAACTTGATACTCTCGACCCTCTCCACCTCAGCTCCATTGATGGGGTGGGGGGTTGTTTCCCTCTTTTCTTTCAAAAGTCAATGATCAGTTATTATGTTTTGGCGACATTGAGGGAGAGATTGTTATTATTGCACCATGTCACCATGCTCTCTATCTCCTTCCTGTATCCCTGATATCATCATTGTTTGATATCCATCCTACCACAGAGATATCATTAGCAATCTTGTAAATGGCATTCGTTAGGAATTTGGCAACACGGTCATGGGTGTATTGATAGTACAGTAGGGGGCTGAGGATGCATCTTTGGGGGACTCCAGTGTTGAGTGTTATTGTGGAGGAAGTGCAGTTACCCATCCTCACTGATTGCAGTCTGTGGGTCAGAAAGCCAAGGATCTGAGAGCTAGCTCACAGAGCTTTGAGATCAGTCTGGAGGGGATAATGGTGCTGAAAGCGGAGCTGTAATAATTGAGCAGGAGTCTGACGTAGGTGTCCTAGTTGTCCAGATATTTCAGGGATGAGTGCAGGGCTAGGGATATGGCATCTGCTATGGACTTGTTACATTGGTAGGCAAACTGTAGGGGATTGAGGCAGGCTGGGAAACTGAAATTAATGTGGACCATGATCAACCTCTCAAAGCACTTCATGATTATTGAGGTCAGAGCCACTGGGAGGTGGTCATCTTGGTGCATTTCACATGCTTTCTTAGGCACAGGGATGATGGTGGTCTTCTTGAAGCAGGTGGGGACTTTGGCCTGTAGGAGGGAGTGGTTGAAGATGTCAGTGAATACCTCCACCAGCTGGTCCTCACAGGATCTAAATGCTCGGCTGGGTACTCTGTCCGGGCCTGTCGCTTTCCTTGAGTTGACTTCTAGGAAGACTGATCATCAGGTTGAGTGGAGCTGAATGCAGTCTCCAATATTACACACTTTCAGAGCTGTAACCTTACGCAACAAGATACAGGACTACAGTATTGGAATGCTGTTGCCCACACCATAAACCCCTGCCACGCTCCACCACTTACCACCCACCTCCTCCTTCCATGCTCCCTTTTTATAAGCAACAAGACAGCTTGAAAGAAAATCTGCAGGGAAGATACCCAGAGGTTAGTATTAATATCCAACTGCCCATCACGTCTTCCTTAATCCAGCCAGAAAATTGTCTTAAGCACTTATAAATCTCTTGTTTTGTCTCATCTGGGGAATCTGCACCACAGTTTATGAAGAATGTCAAAGATGGTGAAGGTATTTACTAGAATGATATCAGAATTGAAGCACCTTAATTATGTGGAGACATCAAGAGAAGTTGAAGCTTTCTTTTACTTGTTGATGGGATATGGACATCACTAGTTGGACCAGCATTTATTGCCCTTCCCTAATTACCCTTGAGGAGGCAGTGTGAGCTGCATTCTTCAACTGCTATAGGAACACCCACAGTACTGTTTGAGAGGGATTTTTGGATTTTGATCCAGTGACACTGAAGGAACATTGATATCGTTCCAAGTCATGGTAGTGTGTAATTTGGAGGGGAACTTGCTGGTGGTGGTGTTCCCATGCATCTGCTGCCCTCGTCTTTCTAGACGGTAGAGTTTGATCCTTCAGGTGCGGAGAAAGTGTGATTGATTAGTGGGTTTTCAAACTCTTGAGAGGTTTTAATGAGGTGAGTAAAAGAAATTGTTTCCATGATAGGTGACTAGTAGTGATGAGAATGACAAGGACGAATATTTTGATGCTGCTAATTGTTTTGAACTGGTATTCACTGCATTTTGGAGAGGTGGAAGAGATTCAGAAGGAAAAAAAATGAATACAAGGTATACTAGGAAGTTAAAGGGTTATGAAATTGCAGAGGGAAAGGCACTAATTGAATAGCATTTTCACAACGCTGCCACAGGCATTATAGACCAATAGTTTCTTTGACTATATTGAGTTTTTGGTCATCTGACCTAATGTCACCATTGTGCTTCAGTGTCACACTTTGTTTTACAATGGTCCTGTGAAGTGTCTTTGTGCATTATGTTTATAATACTTTTAAGATAAATTAAGTTGCTGTTGTTGCAGTTCTACGATTGCACAATTAGAAGTGGAGGTTCCTTCTTCTATCACCAGAATACACCTGAGACATTAAGGGGTGCATTTTTCACTCTGATGAGCGGGTGGAAAAACAGAAACCACCCTCTAAATTAATGGAGTAAAGGGCATGACATTGGTCCAGACAGATGTGTAATTTAACACATTTGTCCTTGATGAGGATCATATTTCATTATTTATATGAACAATGTGTCTTTTTTTCTCTTAGTGGCCACGTCCTGTTCCACTTTACCCGTAATGCCCTCATCC